CCTTTTCTCCCACCCTCAGCCCTTCCCCTCAGCCCCTGCCTTCCCCTCCGCCCCCTGCCCTGCCCTGAGCCCTCCGCCTCCCCCTCAGCCTCCTGCCCTTTTCTCCCACCCTCAGCCCTTTCCCTCAGTACTCTGCCCTTCCCTCAGCCCCTTCCTCCTGCCCTCAGCCTCACCCTCCTTCTGTCAGCCCTTTCCCTGAGCCTCCCCCGCCTTCTCTGAGCCCTCTTCTCCTCCTCCCGGCCCTCTCCTCCTCCTCCCGGCCCTCTCCCCGGTCCCGTTCCCGCTCCCTCGGCCCTTTCCCAACTCCGTCCCTACAATAACAAAAGGAGCGGCCGGAGCGCGTGAGGCGCCGCCGCGCCGCAGCCAATGGCAGCGCCCGTGACAGCCGGGCCTCGCCCCGCCAGCCAATCGCAGCCGCGCTTTCACGGCAGGAGCCCCCAGACGGGCCCCGCCCCCGGCGCCGCCGAGCCCCGCTCCCACCGGGAGCGCCGCGGGTCCCGGTCCCGGTCCCGGTTATCCCCCGGGAACGCCGCGGGTCCCGGTCCCGGTTATTCCCCGGGAACGCCGTGGGTCCCGGTCCCGGTTATCCCCCGGGAGCGCCTCGGGTCCGGCCCCGGTTATCCCCCGGGAACGCTACAATTCCCGGCCCCGCTCCCACCGGGAATGCCGCGGGTCCCGGTCCCGGTTATCCCTCGGGAACGCCGCGGGTCCCGGTCCCGGTTATCCCTCGGGAACGCTACAATTCCCGGCCCCGCTCCCACCGGGAATGCCGCGGGTCCCGGTCCCGGTTATCCCTCGGGAACGCCGCGGGTCCCGGTCCCGGTTATCCCCCGGGAGGGAACGCCGCGGGTCCCGGTCCCGGTTATCCCCCGGGAGCGCCGCGGGTCCCGGTCCCGGTCCTGCTCCCACCGGGAGCGCCGCGGGTCCCGGTCCCGGTTATCCCCCGGGAACGCCGCGGGTCCCGGTCCCGGTTATCCCTCGGGAACGCTGCATGGAAGGGGTGGGTGATAAAAGCACAGACCATTTAGTCACACGGGGTTTCAAAAATTCGTCTTTTTTTTTTTTTGAAAAATGATGGATTTTGGAGCTTGTTCTGGAAAAGAGGCATTTCCACTTCACTGTCCTGGCTGAATTTTCTGTCCCTGCCTCTCATTTCTTTAAACAAACACTCGAACCACACAGAAACACGGCGCCAAAAGAACTCCAACCCCCCAAAATCCACTAAAACAGGGAACATTTTCACCTGCCCCAACCCCACGGGGATTTTTGGTGCAGAACAACAAGGATTTGGGAGAAGAACAACAGCCAAAGTCAGGCTCTTCCTGCTGGCAAGGCTGGACTTGGCTTCGGGGGGGTTACACTCCAGCTGGGAATGTGGCCATCCCAAAAAGCACAAGGGGATTCTAAATATCCAACAAACCCATCCCAAAACCCAACAAACCATCCCAAAACCCAAAACACTCATCCCAAAACCCAAAACACTCATCCCAAAACCCAGCCATGAAGCTCCAGAGGCACACAGAGACCTGGTCCCCAAGCCATGGGTGCATCCCTGGCGCTGCCACCAGCGGATTCATCCCATCCTCATTTCCTCAGGGGAAAAAAAAAACCCACCAAAAAAATCCCCGGACAAGAACAATCCAAAAAAAGTTTAATACAACAGAGAGTATCAAAACATCGAAGAACACACTAAGTCTGAATTTCCCATCGGGGATTCCCGACGGGACGAGCTCCTCCCTCCCCCCGGCAGTCCCGGCCGGTCAGTCGGCGGCCTCGGGATCCGTCTGTGCCATGTACGCGTCCAGCTCGGCGTCCAGGTGTCCCTTGGTCTTGGACATGTAGGCGTCCAGCTGGTTGTCCAGCTGCTCCTTGGTGAGCGCGGGGCGCGCCGAGCCTCTGCCGCGGCCCCGGCCTCTGCCGCGCCCGCCGAAGCCGCCCCGGCCGCGCCCGGCCATGCCGCGCCCTGCCGGGGGACAGCCAGCGCTCACTGCCCCCAGCCCGGCACGGCCCGACCCGCGGGTACGCTCCCAGCTCCTTCTCATCACCCTGAGGATTTCGGAACGTCCTGAGGGTTCCTTAAGCCCAGCCCAGCACCAGAATGGTGTTTTAGGAACAATCCTTTGCTAGCTCTTGAGGAGCTAGGAGCTTCGAGAAAAGAGTATCTGCTGCTGTGGAATGCAACAGGTGCCAGCTGTGATTGGTGCACGTTAGGTGTTTTTAATTAAGAGCCAATCACAGATGCAGCTACATCAGACTCTGAGAGTCACAAGATTTTGTTATTCTATTCTATTCTTGTTTTTTCAAGCTGGGAATGTTTTCTCTCTGTTCTTTTAGTATAGTTATAATGTAGTATTTTAATATATATATCATAATATAATAAACCAGCCTTGTGAGAAACAAAATCAAACCTCGTGCCTCCACACATGAAGAATTCCCAACAATATGGCTCCTGAGCTTCCCCTCCCACCCCTGCTGAGCTTGTTTTAAAATAACCAGCTCTTGGATAAACGGTTTGAATTCCAGCCTTGGAACTCTTGGGGCTGCAGGTTCTGTATCCCCAGGACAGAAGGATCCCAGCTGGATTGCTCCCGTCATTCCCAGGGCACTCACCTCTGCCGCCGATCCCTCCCCGGCCCATGGCGCCCCGGCCCAGGCCGCCTCTTCCCGGGCCCCCGCGGCCCCTGATGCCGCCTCTCCGCAGGCCCATCCGGGGGGCGATCCCTCTCCCGCCGCGCAGCAGGCCTTGACCTTCAGCGGAGAAGCCACAAAAGCGGCATTTCAGCCCGGAAAAACGGCTTGCCAGGGGGACGGGGCAGGGATGGCAGGGCACTGACCTCGGAGCGCCACCCCTCCTCGGATCATGGCCCGGGCGCCGCGGCCCCGCAGGGCCCCCCGGGGCATCCCCCGCTGGCCCAGGGCCAGCCCCCGGCCCCCCAGGGCTCCTCGGGCCAGCGTCCCCGCCGGCCGGCCCAGCCGCGCCTGGATGTTGCTCTTGCCGAGGCGTTGCTTCAAGCTCTTCTGGAAGAGAAGATTTGGGAAGGACAGGAGTCATGCAGCGATCTGGGATTGGGGACACCGCAGGGACACAAGAGGGACGCCGTTCCAAGCGCTGGGGTTGTGCCTGGAGTCCAGGCCTGCGTTCCCGATCGGCCAGCACGGGAGCTGGCCCCGCTGCTCCTCAGGGAAAAAGCAGCACAGCAGCGGCTCCCGAGGGAGGGTGGGATTTTAGGGACTGTGAGGTGAAGCAGCTCCCGGACCCCGGGATCAGCCTTTTCTCTGGAAAAATAGAGAGGAGACATCAACAGCCAGCACCCAACACCCCCACCGACAACCGGGGAACGACAGCGTGTCACTGATTTGAGGTAAAAAGTGGAATTTTCTGCCAGTCCCTCCCAGGTATCTCATTTTTAAGATCATGGAATGCTCTGAGTTGGGAGGGATCCATCAGGATCATCCAGGCCAACTCCTGCCCCTGCACAGACACCCTAAAATCCCACCCTGGGCATCCCTGGAACAGCTCCTGGAGCTCTGGCAGCCTCAGGAATGTGTCCATTCCACGGGGAGCCTGGGCAGTGCCCAGCACCCTCTGGGGGAAGAGCCTTTCCCTAAAATCCATCCTGAACCTCCCCTGGCACAGCTCCAGCCATTCCCGGATCCTGTCCCTGTCCCAGGGAGCAGAGATCAGAGCTGCAGATCCCTGAGTCTCCTCTGCTCCAGCTGGACACACCAAGTGCCCTCAGCCACTCCTCACGTGGCCCTTCCAGACCCTTCTCCATCCTCGTGTCCCTCCTCTGGACACTCTCCCAACACCTTTTTTACAGAATTCCAAAAGTCTCTGGGTTGGAAAAGACCTCCCAGACCACTGAGTCCAATCCCCATCATGTGCCCAGCTCAGGGCACCGAGTGCCACATCCAGGCTTTCCCTGGACACTTCCAGGAATGGCCACTCCAAAATTCCCTGGGCAGCCCCTGCCAAAGCCTGACAACCCTTCCCAGGAAAAAACTCCCGCTGTGTCCAACCCCACCCTCCTGTCAGGGAGCTGTGGAGAGCCACAAGGTCCCCCCCGAGCCTCCTTTCCTGCAGCAGCTCCCCACACACTCACCCTCCATCCCCTTCCCTTCTCTGGCCTCTTTCTCTCTCCGGAGCTGTTTTTTCCACATCCTGCAAGGCCCAAATCCTCTTTCCCCTCACCTGTTTGAGCTTCAGAGCGGCCTGCACAGACGGTCTGTTCTCCATCTGCTGGGCCAGACGTCTGTTTCGAGCGCTGGCCAGCTGCTGCTGCTGCATGGTGGCCCGGATATTCACCGGCATCGGCTGTTTGTTCTTCAGCATGTTAGTGAAGCTTCAAGGTCGAATAAAACGGGGTTTAATTAAAGCTTAAAACACACAATTATCGGCATTTCACGGTGCTCGAGCGGGGCTCCAGCTCCCATGAACCTTATGCAAAGAGTGGCACTTATGGGATTACGGATCCCTCGCTGGCCGCGAGGCCCGGAGAGGCAGGAATGAGGTGGAAGTTTTCAGTGGGAATGAGAAAGCCGGAGGTTAGTGGGTTTAGAGATGGCAGAAGGGGTGACAACCAGCAGGAAGCGGGGATGGTCGTGACAGGGTGGGGGAGGAACAGGACAGCAAAAGCCAAATCAACCCCCCAAAAAAATCTGGGAAAAGCGTCAAAATTCCAGGCCAGGAGGTAGGTTGGGAAGATGCCATGCTCGGTGTCCTCCGGCTCCAGGTTGGAAGGGATCATCTTAAAGCCTTTTCCAACCTTAGCAGTTCCACGATTGTACAAAATTCCACCACCCAGAGCATCTCCTGAATACATAAAATTCCACCACCCAGCTGCTCTCCTGAAGCGAGGCCACTCTGGAATTCACGTGGCGCTTTAATTTCTCCATCCGAGAGCGAACACGCAGCGAGGCGGTAAATAAAGCAGCACCCCGGCAGCTGGACAGCAAAATCCACCCCTTAAAAACGAGGACTTTGGGCTCACAGGGAGGGAAGGAGCCAGAAAGGTGTCCCTGAGCTCGGGGCACACCTCCCTGCAGCGCAGGAGCTGCCCCATCCCAGCGTGTTGAACCCCAAAGCGCTCAGCGGGACACGCGTTAGTCGCCACAGAGGAGCCACACGTGGAAAAACCCAGCGGAATGACCCACGGGAAGAGCTCGAGGACAGAGAGAGATGGAGGTGAAGCCAAAGCTGTTGCCTCTTACAAGACCCAGAAGGGCCTTCGGGCCGGTTCCGAGGCCGCCGCCGGCCTCTTACAGAGCCCACCCGGGCGGGTGGCACCCTCGGGCGCGGCAGCAGAGCCAAAATACCAATGTCAAAACATGTGGGAGAGACAGGGAGGGTGTGAGGTTGGTCTCTGCTCTTACAACACATCCCACCGGATTTACGAGGCGCTAAAAGGCACGGAGAAATCCCTCCGGGATTTTGGTTTTTTTTTTTTTTTTTTTTTGGCCCTTTTAACCTTGCGTGTGGAGGGCACCCGCTCGCCGGACGAGGTTAAAAGAGGGCGGAAACCACGGTGGGTTTTGGATTTTGGATAGTGAGAATTAAGTAAAAAATAATAATAATAAAAAAAAAAATTATATATGATTTCTTAGGAGCTGAAGGTGCCGTTGTTGGCTTCCTCACCGCTCGTTCAGAGACATCTTGGTGGTGCTCTTTAGCACGACCTTCGGTGCTGACTGTGCAGCCATCTTCAGAGAATCTGCAAAAAAACAGGGCCCAAAAGGGAAAAATGAGACATTTGTTACACATTTGTACCACTAAATACTAAAAATCCCTTCTGTTCTGCCTCCCCGGGTGGAGGAGATGAAGATTAGGGCAGGTTATGTGTAATAGATTCATTTTTTTTCAGTGATTTTTAGCCCTCTGCCAGGATTTTTTAGTTCTGATTCTGGGATTTTTTTCATGTTTTTTAGTCCTCTCCCAGTTTTAATAAATCAGGGAGTTCCTTTATTTCTCCCTAGCCAAAAATTTATCTTTTTTACAGTGAATGCTTCAGCAATATTAGGAGGAATAATATAAAAATCCAGCAGCAAGAGGGAAACCAAATGTCATCTTCAGAGCAAAGATGCAAAGCAGAACCCGAGACATCAAATAAATACAATTATTACATATTTACATGATTAAACATTAAAAAAAACCTCTGTTTTCTGTGGAGAGAACTAAGATTGAGGCAAGTATAGGTATTGTATTTATGTATTTTTAATGTTTTCTAGCCCTCTACCAGGTTTAATACATACGGCAGTTATTTTAATTTACCTTTAGTAAAAATTTATCTTTTTACAGTGAACACCTTATCGGTTTTTTGAGTAATAACACAAAAAATCCAGCTGTAAATAGCACACAAATGCTTTTAGCACAGTGACACCTCCACATTTCCCATGTTCCTAGCATGACCAAGGTGCAAACCCCAATTTTAAGGGCCCAGGGAATAAAATTTGGAATAAAAATCCAAGAAGATGCCACAAAAGCATCGTATCCTTTAAAAATATCGAGATTCCACCTCCCTCAGGGCAGGGATTTAAATCCCCCCCAGGGCTGGATGCTACAGAAACACGCTGAGTTCCAACCTCCGAGCTCTGCAGATCGATTTATTAATTTAATTTATAATTAGCAGCAAATTTAACGGGTGGATGGCGGCCGGGACGCGCTCACTCTACAACACCCTCAAAAAACCGCTTTATTGAGAGGATTTCCACCCAGAAATATAGACAGCAGAAAGCCTTATTCCTGTTTTACACTATTTAAAATAATTTTATTTTCGTATAGAGCAGCTTTTTCAATTTGAAGTGGTTTTTAAAGCGTTTTTCATCCTGAGGGAAAAAAAAAACCCAACAGCTCCGCCCCCCTCCGGAACCCGGACATGGGGAAAAGCCCCGGGCCTGAGGGGGACCCCCGGGCCGTGAGGGGACCGTGAGGGGACCCCCCGGGCCATGAGGGGACCCCCCGGGCCCTCAGGGGCTCCCCCCCGGCGCCCCGCCCCCGCGCAGCCGGGCCGCTCACTCACCGAAGCACACGGTCGCCAGGTCTCCGGTGAGCTCCGGCGGGCGGGCGGGTGAATGCGGGGCCGGTGTGGGGCCGGCGCGGGGCCGGGGCTGGCGTTGAGTTCCGCCCGCTCCCGCCGCCGCCGCCGCTTCTCCCTCAGCCACCCGCGACAAAATGGCGCCGGCTCCGCTCCCGCCCCCGCCGAAATGGCGGCCGCGCTCTCGGCCACGCCCCCTGCTGCGCGAGCCCCCCCTTCGGTGGGCGGTGGTTGGTGCAGCAGCGGAGGGGGCGGGGAAAGGGGCGGGGCAGAGGGGGAGGCGGGAGCGTTCTGGCGGGAATCGGGGTGGAGCTCTGGTGACGTCATAGAGAGCGGTGTCGTCATGGAAGCGGCGCGGGATTGCCATGGAATTGTCATGGAAGCGGCATGGAACCGTCATGGAACCGTCATGGAACCGGCATGGAACCGTCACGGAGCCGTCATGGAACTGGCATGGAACCGTCACGGAGCCGTCATGGAACTGTCAGGGAACCGCCATGGAACTGGCATGGAATTGCTATGGAATCATCATGGAACCGTCATGGAAACACCACGGAACCGTCATTGAACCGGCACGGAACCGTCACGGAACTGGCATGGAACCAGCGTGGAACCGTCATTGAACTGGCACAGAACTGTCATGGAATGGTCATGGAACTGTCATGGCACCATCATTGAACCGTCATGAAACTGTCATGGAACCATGGGACCAGGGAGTCATGGGGTCAGGGAGCCGTGGAGTCACGCATTTGTGGGATCACGGAGTCGCGGGCTGCTGGGATCCCTGAGTCCCAGGGAACGGTGGAGCTGTGCGTTCCGTGCCAGCTTTACCAGCTCCTCTGTCAGTTCCGTTGTCGTGGAACTCCTGGAATTACGGAATCAGTGGAATCATCCCTGGGAACGCTGCCCAGCTGCTCCTTGACCCTTTCCCGTGTCCCACCACCCCCTGGGAGCTGCCCCGTTCCCGGGCAGGGCCGGTGCTCACCGGCATGGCGGGCGGATGATGGCGCTGGCGGCCCTGGCGGGGCCCTTGGCCACCGTCCCGTCCCAGTGGATCCCAACCGGTTCCTCCAGCCCCGCGGGCGCGGTGCCGGCGCCTCCGGAGCCACCTGCGGCGAGTCCCAGCCTGTCACCCCCTTCCCAAAACCACGCTGCTCCCGTGGCACACGGCCCGACACCGGCCGGGATCGCCCGCCCCGGGGGCACCGTGCCCTGGGTGGGTGGGTGGATCTCGGGGTGATCTTGGGGTGGATCCCAGGGTGGTTCCTGGGGTAGATACCAGGGTAAATCCCAGTGTGGATCCCATATGGATCCCAGGGTGGATCCCGGGGTGGATCCTGGGGTAGATACCAGGGTAAATCCCAGTGTGGATCCCATATGGATCCCAGGGTGGATCCCAGGGTGGATCCTGGGCTAGGTACCAGGGTGGATCCTGGGGTAGATCCTGGAGTGGATCCCAGTGTGGATCCTGGTATGGATTCCAGGGTGGGTCCCAGGGTAGATCCCAGGGTGGTTCCCAGGGTGGTTTCCAGGGTGGATCCCATGGTGGATCCCTGGGTGCATAACAGGATAGATCCTGGGGTGGATCCTGGGGTCGTTCCCAGGGTGGATCCCAGTGTAGATCCCAGGGTAGATCCTGGCATGGATCCCATATGGATCCTGGGGTGGATCCCAGGGTAGATCCCATATGGATCCCATATGGATCCCAGGGTGGATCCCAGGGTAGATCCTGGCATGGATCCCATATGGATCCTGGGGTGGATCCCAGGGTAGATCCCATATGGATCCCATATGGATCCCGGGGTGGATCCCGGTGTGGATCCCCGAGTGGATCCAGGGCTGTCTCCAGGCCCTCGGGGTGACCCGGGGTGGCGTTTCCCCGTGACCCCTCAGTGGGATATTCCCTGGGGGGGCACTCGCAGGGGGACGGGGCAGGAATCCCGAGCGGGAACGACGGAGCTGACAACGCCCCTCGGGCAGGGTCGGTGCCTTTATTGTGCAGCTGGATCCCAGCAGGATCCCCTGGGAATGCTGGGGAGCGGAGGGGGTGAGCTGGGGGGGTGCCGGGGGGGCTCTGGATTTTGGGAAGCCGCGCCCTGCTGCGGCAGGAGGGGCGTCAGGCGTTCTCCCAGAAGAAGGTGTTGCAGGCCACGGTCAGGGCGGCCACCAGGACCACGAATTCCTGGAAATCCACCTCCCCGTCGCCGTTCTCATCCAGGTCCTGCATGATCTTCTCCACGGCCCCCGCGTCCTTTTGGGTCTGGGGGGGCACAGGGTGAGCCCTGAGGCTGGGCAGCCGCTGTTCCCCCCTGGGAATGGGGAAAGGGAGACCCCCCCCAAGCGCCAAACTGGTCCCAGTTACCTCCAGGAAACATCCCAGCTCGCTCTGCAGCAGCTCCTTGAGCTCCTTCTTGCTCAGCTTGTACTTGTCCCCCTCCTTGCCCGAGTAGTGGTGGAAGACATTGATCAGGGTCTCCATGGCCCCTTCCAGCTGCGATCCCATGGCTGCGGCTGCGGGACCCCCAGCACGTCACCCACCAGCCCCCCTGTCCCGGTGCCACCCCCAAACATCCCCCACCCCCCGGCCGTGATCCTGCCGAGCAGGACTGGGGGATCTGGGGGGGCTCCCAGGGGCTGCCCGGGGGGTCCTGAGGGGAGGTTTGTGTGAGGACAGAGTCACCTGTGCTCACCTGAGCTCCCCGTGCTGCGAGTGCGCCCGCCCGGCCGGGCTGGGCACGTTAAATAAGCTCCAAGCCCCCTCCCTCCGGGAGGATCCGATACCGGGGCTGGACAGCCCGGCTGGCACCGCCGGCCAGCCCCGCGGGGGCCGGCGTGGGGGGCACAACCCCCTCGGTGGCCCCGGGCAGCACCCCCAAAGCCCGCGGGCACGGCCGGGGTGACAGCATCGCTTCAAGGGGGGTCCCTTTAGCGCCCCTCGCCACCCCCAGGATGCTCCGGGATGCTCAAAAAATTGGGGACATCGGCAGGGTTGGGACGGACAGCGGGGGTGCCTCGCTGGGGACAGCCCCCGGGGACCCCCAGGTGACGGCGGTGGCCACGCCGTGACCCCGCGGTGGCACCGCGGGCATCCCCCGTCTGTCAGCGCCGGGATCGGGGCCGCATCCCCGGGGCCGCATCCGCGGCCAGCCCCGCTCCCGGCGCTGATAACGGGATCCGGTGTCCTCGGCCCGGCCACGGGAGCCAGCGGGGCCCGGGGGGAGCCGCGGGGGTATCGGGTGACTCCGCGGGGCCCCCCGCGCTCTCAAAGGGCTCTTGTCCGCCTGAAAAGGCCCCACAATCCCGAGCCCGACGTTGCTGCAGCAACGCCTCGGCCAAGAAACCGGAGCCCGAGCTGGCCCCGGTGATGCTGATAATCCCGAGGATCCCGTTACGGCCCCGGATCCGCGCGGGCCGGAGCCCGCAGCCTGCCCGGCTCCGGCATCCCCGGGGGGCTCAGCCCCCGGATTCCTCAGCCTGATCCCCCGGATTCCTGATCCCCCAAATGCTTCAGCCCCCGGATTCCTGATCTCCCGGATTCCTGATCCCCCGAATTCCTGATCCTCCAAATGCTTCAGCCCCCGAATTCCTGATACCCCAAGTTCTCCAGCCCTCAAATTTCTAATCCTCCAAATTCCTAATCCTCCAAATTCCTCAGTCCCCACATTCCTCAGCCCCCAAATTCCTCAGCCCCCAAATGCTTCAACTCCCAAATTCCTCAGCCCCCGGATTCCTGATCCCCCGAATTCCTGATCCCCCAAATGCTTCAGCCCCCGAATTCCTGATACCCCAAGTTCTTCAGCCCTCAAATTTCTAATCCCCCAAATTCCTGATCTCCCAAATTCCTCAGCCCCCAAGTTCTTCATCCCCCAAATTCCTCAGCCCCCCTCTCTGGGACCCTCCCCAGGAGTTGGGACCCCCTCAAACAGGAGCAGCATTTTCCCGAGCGCCGGGTGCTGCCGGGCTCCTCGTGCCGGCTTCCAGCCCTAATTTGGGGCTAATTACATCCTGCTCCCACCTCCCGCACTTCCTGCCCCGCGGCCGAGGGTGGGCCCTGCCCGGGGTCCCCAAACCCGGTGGTCCTGTGGGGCCAAGCCCCCTCCCCACTGTGCTGGGAATGAGGAAACTGGATGGATGTGGGGGTCCCCAGACAGGGGAGGGGTCCCAGCTGGAATTGCGAGTCCCGGGTGGGAGCGGGGGGTCCCAAAGGGCAGCTCGGGAGGGGACACGGCCCCGATCCTGTGGTGGGGCAGGGAGGGGGGGCTCCGGATCACGGGATCCCGAGCCTGGGGGCGCCGGGAGGGGCCGAATCCTGCGATCCCGAGCCTAGGGGCACCGGGAGGGGCCGGATCCCGGGATCCCGAGCCAGGGGGCACCGGGAGTGGGGACGCCGGGAGGGGCTGGATCCCGGGATCCCGAGCCTGGGGACGCCGGGAGGGGCTGGATCCCGGGATCCCGAGCCTGGGGACGCCGGGAGGGGCTGGATCCCGGGATCCCGAGCCTGGGGACGCCGGGAGGGGCTGGATCCCGGGATCCCGAGCCTGGGGACGCCGGGAGGGGCTGGATCCCGGGATCCCGAGCCTGGGGACGCCGGGAGGGGCTGGATCCCGGGATCCCGAGCCTGGGGACGCCGGGAGGGGCTGGATCCCGGGATCCCGAGCCTGGGGACGCCGGGAGGGGCTGGATCCCGGGATCCCGAGCCTGGGGACGCCGGGAGGGGCTGGATCCCGGGATCCCGAGCCTGGGGACGCCGGGAGGGGCTGGATCCCGGGATCCCGAGCCTGGGGACGCCGGGAGGGGCTGGATCCCGGGATCCCGAGCCTGGGGACGCCGGGAGGGGCTGGATCCCGGGATCCCGAGCCTGGGGACGCCGGGAGGGGCTGGATCCCGGGATCCCGAGCCTGGGGACGCCGGGAGGGGCTGGATCCCGGGATCCCGAGCCTGGGGACGCCGGGAGGGGCTGGATCCCGGGATCCCGAGCCTGGGGACGCCGGGAGGGGCTGGATCCCGGGATCCCGAGCCTGGGGACGCCGGGAGGGGCTGGATCCCGGGATCCCGAGCCTGGGGACGCCGGGAGGGGCTGGATCCCGGGATCCCGAGCCTGGGGACGCCGGGAGGGGCTGGATCCCGGGATCCCGAGCCTGGGGACGCCGGGAGGGGCTGGATCCCGGGATCCCGAGCCTGGGGACGCCGGGAGGGGCTGGATCCCGGGATCCCGAGCCTGGGGACGCCGGGAGGGGCTGGATCCCGGGATCCCGAGCCTGGGGGCACCGGGAGGGGCCGGATCCCGGGATCCCGAGCCGGGGGACGCCGGGAGGGGCTGGATCCCGGGATCCCGAGCCTGGGGGCACCGGGAGGGGCTGGATCCCGGGATCCCGAGCCTGGGGACGCCGGGAGGGGCCCCGTGGCACTCACTCGCCGTGTCCCTGTCCCCCGAGCAGCTCACAGCGGGCAGGATTCCGGGAGAGCCCGGGAACGTCACCGGGCCAGCAGCTGCTCGTGACAGGGACGGGCATTACCCAAAAATAACCCCGACCCCACTCCCTGCCAGGCGGGGACAGAGGGGACAGGGCCAGGCATTCCCAGCCCCCCAAACCCTCTGGGACAGCAGGACCGAGGTGCCCCAGGGTGAACCCCAACACCGGGGGGTCCCGGGGGGGTCTCAGACCCTGCGGCCGGGGCAGAGCACGCCCAGCACGGCTGGCACATTCCCAGGAGCTCTTCCCGAAGCGGGAGCAGCGAGGGACATGCCAGGAGCTTTACACACAGCTTGGAACAGGTTCCAGCCACTGCGACTCCCCTGCTCCACTTTGACCCAGCTAAACCAGTTACTCCAGTTCCGGGTGCCGGGCTGGGCCGATCTTGTCTCCCCATCCCATCACCGGGGCTTTGGAAGAGGCTTTTCCATCCCCGGGGTTTGGAAAGGGAGGAGCAGCAGTGGCCGGGCTGGGGACACCGCGGTGGCTTTGGGCACTCACGGTTCCCTCCAGCGAGCCCCGATGGGGCCAGCAGGGGCCACTGCCGGGCTGGGCACCGTGGTGGCCATCCCTCGTTGGGGTCCCCAACCCAGATGGGTTGTGGAGAACCCCGGGATGAGGATGTGGGAGTGGGCACTGACCCCCTGCACGTGGTCACCCTGTCACACAGGGTCCTGTGGTCCTATATGGCCCAAGTCCCTGTATGGTCCCTGTCCCTAAATGGCCAAGATCTCTGTGTGGTACCATCCCTATATGGCCTGAGTTGCTATATGGTCCCTTTCCTGTCCCTAAATGGCCCAAGTCCCTATATGGTCCCTGTCCCTATATGGCCCAAGTCTCTGTGGCCCTGTCCCTGACCCTATATGGCCCAAGTCCCTGTATGGCCCTTTCCCTGACCCTATATGGCCCTGGCCCTGGCCCTATGTGGCCCAAGACCCTATATGGCCCTGTTCCTATATGGCCCAAGTCCCTGTACAGTCCCTGTCCCTATATGGCCCCCATCCCTGTCCCTAGATGGCCCCGGTCCCTCCATGGTCCCCTCCTGGCCATGCCGGTGTCCCCTTCCCGTGGGGACAGTCCTGACAGGGATCCCAGGAGGATAAAAGACCTGGATGTCCCTTCCCCTCCTGTTGTGGGGCCGCTGCTGCATCTGCCCCTTCCTCACCCCGAATTCCAGGGCCGGGGAGTCACGGGCCCGCCTGGCTCCGGGGCCGGTGATTCACCCCAAACCTGTCCCGGTCCCTGCCGGGCCTGACTCACCCGCCGCTTTCCCAAGAGGCCACCCCGGTGCCCTGACGTGGGGCTCGGTGACCGTCCCAGCCCCGTCCCCTCCGTCATCCCGGGGCCGGATGGGGCTGCAGGAAGCCAATTCCTGCCCCGTGAGCTGGTGTGACGGTTCTGGGGTGGGGACAGGGCCACCCCGCGCCCGTGGGAGCCTCCCTGTCCCCTCCAGCGTGTCGGGGCTCAGCACAAACCGTGATGGTGATGTTGTAGTGGGGACCCCCCAAAGCACCGCTGGGGCTTTGGGACCCCAAATTCCTGCGTGTTGCCCTGGGGGGCTGCTCGCTGCAGCCTCGCTGTTTGTCACACCCGTGGGGACAGTGGGGACAGTCCTGAGGCTGTGTGCAGGGTCCCCTCGGGGTCCCCGGGGGATTTGGGGTGCCCGCAGGAGCTGCTGGGTCTGCCATGTTATAAATACCCACTGATTAAAGGGGAGCGCTGGGGCCGTTCCAACCCCCTAATTAATTTGGATTAATTAATTTTTTACAGAGCCCACTATTAATAGGGATGATGTCAGCGGGTGGCTGAGTCACAACTCTCACTCGGTGCGGGCCGAGCCGGGCCCTGGCTCGGTGACACTGCCCGGGATGTGACAGGGATGTCACCGGAATGTGACCGGGGTCCTGGGGTCACCTCAGTGTCCCCAGCCCTGCAGGGAGAGAGCTGGGGGTGACACCTGCCCTGCACCCCCGGAATGGAGCTCCAAGTTTGGATTCAATCCTCTCGGGGGTCTTCTCCAACCAAAACGATCCCGATCCCGGGAATGTTCCTGTGCGCGGCCCCGGTGATGATGCTGCAGCCCCGGGGCATTCTCTGCCCGCGGTCCCGTCCTGTCCCCACCGGAGGTCCCCGGGAGGCGCCGCCGAGGCCGCGGCGAGTTCAGGCCGAGTTTGGTCCGGTGCCCAGGCGGGGAGGGAGCGGAGGGACGGACGGAGGGACGGACGGACCGACGGACGGCGGCGCCCGGGCGGTGACTGCGCGTCCGTCCGGCCGCATCAGGAAACCCAACACCGGCGCGGCGGGGACAAAGGCTGCGCTGTCCCCTCCTGCGGCGCGGCTATAAAACCTCCTGAAAACTCCCCAAAGCTCCCGAACCGCTCGAAACCTCCCGGGGTCCGCGACCTGCCCGCAGCCTGGGGTAAGTGGGGCATCGCTCCCCGCAGCTCCGGCCCACTGATGTCCCCCCTGTCCCCTCCCCGTGTCCCCGTTCCGTCACCACCGGGACCCGCTGCCCCTTCTGCACAAGCCCCGGGACCCTCCTGAGCCCTGCGGGGCTGAGCTGAGCCCGAGCTGGGCTGGGGAGGGGGCGAGGGTCCCCACCTGGGACACTCCTCTGCATGCGACCCCCGCTGGGCTCCTGTCCCTGCAGCGCCGGGCTAGCGGCGTGTCCGGTGCCATGGCCACGGCCGAGCCCACCGAGCCCACCGAGCCCACCGAGCCGCCGATGGAGCTGACGGAGCTGGAGGCGGCCATCGAGCGCATCGTCACCGTGTTTGTCACCTTCGCCGCCAAGGAGGGCAAGAAGGGCACGCTGACCGCCGGCGAGTTCAAGGAGCTGGTGCGGCTCCAGCTGCCCAACCTGATGAAGGTGAGAGGGGCAGCAGCAGCACCGCGGGGTCCCCGGGGGTCCCCGGGGGTCCCCCTGAACCGCGGTGCTGCTCCCGCTCCCCCGGGGTTGGCAGCCTGATGCCCGCGCCGGTGTCTGGGCATCAGAGGCGCCCTCCCGTGCGCTCCCCGCAGGATGTGCCCTCCCTGGAGGAGAAGATGAGCGAGCTGGACGTGAACAACGACGAGGAGCTGAGGTTTGGGGAGTACTGGAGGCTGATCGGGGAGCTGGCCAAGGCCGTGCGCAGGGACAAAGCGGGCAAGAAGTGATGGAGACTCAAATAAAGAGGTTTCCCTGAGCCTGAGCATCCTGCTGTTCTTGCTGGGGGGCTCTGATCCCAGCCCCCATCTCCTCCCTCCCCGTGATGGCCACGCTGGGGACAGGCCCAGCCCCGGGCTGTGGCTTTGGGGTCACTCCATGGCTCCGGGGCCGTTCCCAAATTGCCCTCGCGCTGGTCTGGCTTTTGGGGTGCCACCCTGCGCCCCACAAACACCTTCCTGCCGCGCTGGGGGGGGGCGTGGGGGGCAGAGCTGTGGCTGTGGCCGGGGTGGGGCTCGGCGGATCCCGGCAGCGATGCCACCCTGGCCACCATCTCCATGGCATCCATGCCCGTCCTCTGGGGGTCTTGGGTGGCACGGGGGGGACACATCCGCCAGCACATCCCTGCTGGAGAACATCAGCGTTCAGACCCCGAATCCCGGCGCTGCTGGGCCGGTGAAATCCCGCTCCGGGCCCGGTGCCGTTCCCACGCCGCCGTGCCGGGCCCGCTGGGATGTGGAACCGTCGGTGTGGCCGGGAAGGAGGCGTTTCCCGGCCCCACGCTGGCGCCGGGCCAGGCTCCCAAATGAGACGCCTTGCACCACGGAGCTCCCACTCACACCTCCCCGGTATAAAACCCCGGCCCGCCGCAGCCCGCGCACACCTGGGACAGCCCGTGCTGCAGGTAAGTGGCCCGGCCGCCCCACGGGACGGGGGGGCTGCGCCCCGGGCCCCTCTGCTCCCACGCTCGGCTCTGCCACGACTTGCGAGGACGCCGGGGACGTGTCCCGGCAGCTCCAGCGCCGCATCCCGGGGCTCCTTCCTCGCCCTCGGCTCGGGGATGAGGAGGAGTCCTGGCGCCGGAGGAGGGGAAGCTCCCCCCGAGCCGAGAGCTGAGCTTGGCTTCCTTCCCCCGCCAGCTCCCCCGGACCCCGCGGCACAGGAGAGACCCCCGGAGAGACCCCCAGCAGCAGGATGGGCCAGTGCAACTGCCGCAAGAAGCGCAAGGTCCGGCGGGGACACCGCGACACCGGCGGGGCGGGGGTGACCCCGCACGGCCCCGGCCTCGCAGCCCTGGGCACGGCGTGGGCCGGGGGCTGCTCTGGGGGGCTGGAAAGCTCGGGGAAGCGGGCAGCTCAGTGTGCTCCCGCGGATTGACCACTTCGGGAGCCGGCCGCGCTCCTTGCAGCCTCTCCGAGGATGTCCCACGGCCGCAAAGCTCCGCTTGTCCTCGGCTGCCGAGCGGGACGTGCCCACCCCGCAGCCCTCGGCACCTGTGGAGGATTTTGGGGCGCCGGGCTGAGGCTCTGCAGGTTGCCCGGTGGGCATCGCCGGCTGTGGTTTCACGGCGTTCCGAGGGGAAGCCGCAGATTTTGGGTGAATCACCGTCGCTGCCCTCAAACGGAGCCGCGCGAGCGGCCGGGAGCGACCGGGACTGACCGGGACTGACTGGGAGTGACCGGGAGTGATCGGGACTGACCGGGAGCGACCGGGACTGACCGGGAGTGACCGGGAGCGATCGGGAGTGACCGGGACCGATCGGGAGTGATCGGGACTGACCGGGACTGACCGGGACTGACCGGGAGTGATCGGGAGTGACCGGGACTGACCGGGAGCGACCGGGACTGACCGGGAGCGATCGGGACTGACCGGGAGCGACCGGGACTGACCGGGACTGACTGGGAGTGACCGGGAGTGATCGGGACTGACCGGGACTGACCGGGACTGACTGGGAGTGATCGGGAGTGATCGGGACTGACCGGGAGCGACCGGGAGCGACCGGGAGTGACCAGGAGTGACCGGGACTGACCGGGAGTGATCGGGAGTGACCGGGACTGACCGGGAGCGGGGGTCGCGCTGTTCTGCGCCCCTCACCCCGCCGGGGTTGGGGTCTGCGGGGTGGCAGAGGGGCTCCCCGGAGCCCCGGGCCGGCGGGCACTGACTCACGCTGCCATCGCCGCTTGTGCGGAGGAGAGGAAGAACCAGTCGGGACGGGCCCGCGCCGGGGGTGGCGAGAGACGCCGGGGTGGCTGAGCCTGGCGGGGACAGCGAGTCTGGGGGGGTGACAGCTCGGGGGGGACGGGAGATGGCACCTGGAGGGGCTGTCAGAGCCGGGCAACAGCTGGATGGGGGGAGAAACATCTGTATGGAGCGGTCCGGGATCCGTGTGAGGACTGCAGGCTGAGAGCTGGAGGGGGCTCACAGCTGGATGGGGGCTCACAGCTGGATAGGGGGCTCAAAGCTGGATGGGGAGGTGCCACAGCTGGACGGGGAGGTGCCACAGCTGGACGGGAGGGCGCCTCACATCCGCGCAGCGGGGCCGGGCGCCGGCAAGGAGATTTATCCCATGGTTGTGCAGGGATGAAATGTTTGCTCGGGGGGCGTCCCCCACCCGCTCGGGGCTTGTCCTGTCCCCTCCGCGGGATGTCCCACCCCTCCGGGGACCTGTCCCACCCTTCTGGGGACCTGTCCCCCTCCTCCGAGGAGCTGTCCCACCCCTTGGGGACCTGTCCCCCTCCTCCGAGGAGCTGTCCCACCCTTCTGGGGACCTGTCCCACCCCTTAGGGACCTGTCCCACCCTTCTGGGGACCTGTCCCACCCCTTGGGGACCTGTCCCACTCCTCCAGGGATCTGACCCACCCTTCTGGGGACCTGTCCCACCCCTCCACGGAGCTGTCCCCCCCCGCCTCACCCTCTGTCCCCCCCGCAGGACTGCCAGGAGCTCACGGACGTGGAACGGGCCATCGAGACCGTCATCAGCCAGTTCCACTGCTACGCCGTGAAGGGGCAGAAGGAGTACCTGACCCCCAACGAGATGCAGGAGCTGGTGGTGCAGAAGCTGCCGCACCTGGGCAAGGTGAGGGCAGAGCCCGGGGGCGGGCAGGAGGAGCTGGGGGGGCGGCTCTGGCTTGCCGGTGGGGTCACCCCGATGTTTTGTCTGCAGTGCGTGGGACCCCTGGAAGAGAAGATCGAATGCATGGGAGACCCTAACGAGGCCAAGCTGGAGTTCGGGGAGTACTGGGACATGATGGGGGATGCGGCCAAGGGCTGCCGGAGGAAGTAGAGGGTGGTGGGGGACGGGAAGGCGCCCGAGGCCTCAGGCTCTGCTCCTGGAAGCGCCAGAAGCCGCTGGGATGCGCCTGGGAAAAAAAAAAAAGCGACCTCGCTGCTGCCGGAGGATTCCCCTCCCCGGCTCCATCCCCGCCCTGCTCGGCTCTCCTTCCCTCCCCCAGCTCTGTCCCCGGAGTGGGGGGCACAAAGAGGGGGGGTCCTGGCAGCGGAGCCGCCTCTTTCCGTGCGCCCCCACCCCCGGGATTGTCCCCCCCGCTCCGGCAGCGCTGCGGGTGCGGCTCCCCCCGCCCCGCAGCGAGAGGGGCTCGGCTCCAAACCCCCCTGGATGGGGAGGGGGCTCGTCCCTGTCACCCCCATGGCACCTCCAGGGGCACCCCGGGCTCGGCAGCGGGGGGGTGTGCGTGGCCTGGGAGCTTTCCCTGCCGTCCCCCCACCCGGATTTTGGGGGGTTGTTCCGGGATGTGCTGCCCTGCCGGTGCTCCCCACCTCCGGGGATTCCTGGGATCAGCTGGGGCCACCCGCGACCTTTTTTTTTTTTGTATAAATTAATAAAGGAAAACATGGGAAAAAAAAAAAAAAAAAAAAAAAAACCCAAAAAACAGGGGGGCAACTCTAGACCTTTTTTTTTTTTGGAAAAAAAAAA